AAACGAATATTTATTTAATATGGTCAAATATGATATATTAAATGTCTTCCATAGCTGATTACTAGCAGAAATAGCTAGCGACATACGATAGACCAAACCTTTGCCCGATTTCGACAATAAATGATTCAGAAAAAACCCTTGCTCTTTTGACAGGTAAGGTCAATCCTGAAGATATTTCGAAACTATATCATATCACTAGAACTTACTATTGAAAGTTCAATTCTGGACTGTACCAAACACTTTTGAGCAAATAATTTATTAAAAATATACTGGTTTATTTAACTTCCTTCATACAGTCCAGTTAATGTTGACACCGCAATTCTAGGTTCGCAACACGAAGTTTTGATCATCCTTATCCTATTTAGATGAACTAGAGGATAGCATAGCAGGAAGATATGACAATTAAGGATCACTTTTCCGTCATTATATGAGTAAAATAATGGAGTGAATTTAAGAACTTAATTTAGTCTATCTGATCTCCAAATTTAGACTGTTTATTATCGAAAAGACATTGTTCGGTCTCGTAACAATAAACTTTTTTTATCTCCAGGAGATGCAGGCGGACTTTTACATCCGACCCTGCATGGAAGTGTTGAAGCGGCACTCCTGTTTTGCTTCACTCCACCCTTCAGTTTTCCTGGATCTGAGTGGTCTCAACGAAGGCCCTAATGCCGACAGAGCAAGGGCATTAAGTTTAAATAAAGTCTGGAACTTTGGATCCACGCAGTCTAAAGTGCAGCAAATCGAGGACGTTGCGGTAGATGACGATAACGAACTGCTGCTGATAGCCCACAATCCATTCAATGAGACGATCCGATCGAGTCAAGAGACTTGGTGCTCCTGGCTGCATGTCGCGCCAATCGGGTTCGGCTCTTATTTACAGCGCATCGCTGATCAGATTGTGACATGGACGCAGAAGGAAGAGGCCGCATATCAAGCCATGCAGCTGAGCATCAGTCTGAAACCACAACCAGAAGAGGTTAATAAAAATTGTTCTTGATTTATAGGCACTATTCACTCAAATTTCACGTTTGTCCACTCTCATCACACTCAATGATGGATGAATGGATTGTCTAAATGTCAAAAAATGTCCTATATATCTAGTCATATTGTATACCTTTTTGAAATAATTATACACAGCAATGGTGACCTAACTTCCAAGAAATTTATTTCTGTTTTTAGATAAATGCAAATCAAAGCAACCTCTATGG